GTCACGCTGGCGCTTAGGACTCTCCGCGCCGCCGTCGCTGCTGGCGCCGCTGCCGCTGCCGTACTAGCTACCAGGGGCGGCGCCGCAGCTGTCAAGGCCGCAAGGCTCTGCGATGTTATCACCGCTCGCATGAAGTTGATGACTGAAGCAGCCGAAGCTTGTACGATCGTCGCAACTGTCGTACACTCCATGGGCTGTGCAGGTGCTGTGGTTATACGACGCCAGGCTAGCGCAGGTGCCGGCTGGCCCACGCCACGTCCGCCACACGACAGCTGCCTGCCGGCGGTGGCGGCGGCACCGCCGCTGACAGTGTAAGTCGATGACAAGGAGGAAGTGCGCACCAGGGAGGGACATCCGCCGCCGCCGCCGCCAAAAGCCGATGTACGGCGCTTGTCTGACGTCATCACCTCCAGCACGTGTCTCGGAAAGACTTCTTCAAGGATGCGGTGCTGTACGGCGGGTGGTGGCGAACCCGCCGTCGTACCATCCATGAAGCATCAAGATCCAGATCCAGGTCCAGGGAAGGTGAGCCGATGAGAGCACGGCCCAAAAGAAAATGGGATCAAAGGCCACACAGTTCGTTTTGAATTTCATTCCGCAAAGCTGGAAGGTACACCATTCAAATTCCAACGGATGCAATAACATTTATACATATCGCTTTGGCTTTTCATTTGTGACTGCACAACAAAGCTCTCTCACCTCAGCATCTAAGACCTGTCTAACCTCCAGCTCAGCCTGCACGTACGGCGTGACGTCATGGAACGCGAGCACCAGATTCCATTCCGTTGAAACCGGATCCAGAAACAGGTTTGCTTGAACCTCATGCTAGCAGCAGTTGCTAACGTACGGCGGCGATGCACTGGGCAGAAGCGGTGACGGCGCCGCCGCCGCCGCCGTCGCCTCGGTATGCGCGAGCTCCTCTCCCGCCGTCGCTAAACTGGTCGTAGCACCGCTCGACGCAGAGAATCCTCGGAGGCCGCCGCCGCCGCCGCCACCGCCGCCGCCGCCGCCGCATGAAGCTCGCACGCTCGTCACGCTGGCGCTTAGGACTCTCCGCGCCGCCGTCGCTGCTGGCGCCGCTGCCGCTGCCGTACTAGCTACCAGGGGCGGCGCCGCAGCTGTCAAGGCCGCAAGGCTCTGCGATGTTATCACCGCTCGCATGAAGTTGATGACTGAAGCAGCCGAAGCTTGTACGATCGTCGCAACTGTCGTACACTCCATGGGCTGTGCAGGTGCTGTGGTTATACGACGCCAGGCTACAAGACGTGAGCTTATGAATCCTCTCACTGCCTCCATCCTCGCCCGTAAGAACAAAGTCCCCGATTCGTTTAAAAGCCTCAGTCCTTACCCCGAGAAGTTTGGTGTCGTGTAGTCCTCAAATGAAATGCTAGGTCCAAAAAGATTTTTACAGTTGTCACAACCCGAATCATGGAACTGCAAAAGGGAATCGGCTGAGCAGCGTCCTCAACGCTCCACCGCAACAAACACCGCACCTGGTTGCGCGACTTGATTAGGCGGCACACGTAGCAACAAACAAGATTCTTATTGGTAAGAGCAAAGTCAGAAGGGTCCCGATTGCACTCGCCGTGTGCTGGGACGTCAGCGACCCGTTCCATTTCTGGGCTCCGGGCCCGTTTCTACGTAGATGCTTTTCTACTCCTAGTACCGTATTAAGCGTATATATAGGATGCACCACACCTCAGGCTGCCCGGAGAAAAATACACGGAGAACGGAGCTGCGCAGCGACGCTGCCGGTATCGTTGCTGTAAGGTTGGGCTGACTACAGTTTCAAATTTAAACATATACCGTAGAGGCAAGGAGGTGCATAAATGAAGAATACCGTCACGAATTCAGCTATTGGAAGAGGTCCGAGGCGATTGTTGCAGTTGGGGGTTGGCTGTCGTACCAGAAAACCTGCCGAGGTTGTCCCTCAGCCCGGGGAGTACATTGGATTTCCGGGTGCGTATTGTGCAGCACGTAGAAATTACTTTAATTGGTGGGTGGCGGATGCTTTGGTGTGTGGGCCCTTGGGGCTTCTCCTCGCGTCGAAAAGGCATGATCAAATTGCAATAGCCGATAGGTTCAGGTTCGCAGGGAGTCGGGGTTACGTTCTGCGCTTCCTAAGCCCAGGCTTACATGTGTTTGAATCGATGCCTGTAGGGCTGATGCGTGTAACACATGCAACTAAAACCGAAGCCAGGACTCAGAACCATGCCAAAACTCAAATGCCCGAAATTAGCTTCATATCAACAGTTAGATATTTTCATTCTAGACACGTATATTATTGCTTTATACGGCTCGGAGCTGGATAGCTCAGGCTTTTGTGGGTTTGACTGTAATGCACCTAGGTCGTCCAGGCGCCTTCGACGGTTGAAGTTGGAGTTGTCCGTCTCTTGTCTTCCCAGAATGCATGAGCTATGAAATGTTTTGATTGCATTAAGGATCAGGCAATTGGATAGCAGCACCAGGAA